GTATTTTTTTATTTTTGACTGCCACACTTATCAAATAAATAAACGGCAGAGACACTTCCTAACAAAGCTGAGGCTGGGTGTGTTTATTTCACTTCTTCCTTGAAGCCATTCTTCATGTATGTGAAAGACAGTTTAGACCTGAACTGGGCTTCTGAAATAATGGACATTAATTATAAGCTTGGYCCCTGTGTGTCTCCATATCCCACTAACAGGATTTTGATATCCGCGCCACGACCTCCAGGGGGGGAAAAGAAGCTTCTTTTTTCTTTTTTTACCTTTGCATATCTCTTCCACAGACTCTTAAACCTTTCGATCCTGTCTATCTAAAGATCCCCTGAAATAAGCAAATCTCCCTGTCACGCATAAGGAATTATTGCCCCCCTCCTCTTCATAACGTCGCATGCGTCGTAATTGGATACAATTTAACACCCGCGGCCCACGGGCAAGTCGGCAGGCGCTCTGCCTACTATTAGCTCGCCTCGCCACCCTATCATTTGTCAGATCTGTGTGTTTGTGTGCTCCTGGTGTCTGCCTTTTTTATTATGTGTGTGTGTGCGCGCGCGCGCGCGCGTACACGCGCCTCAAGAAACCGGAGCCATTGTTGGAGTCTGGCCATGACCTCGCTATGACGCACAGACACAGCGAGAGGAGAGAAGGAGAGGCGACAGCAGCCCCGGCCGCTGAAAAACAAGCCGGAGCTCAGTCCCCTCAGCGCGCGGGAGGGTGGGGGGAGGCAGGCCTCAGGGGCAGACCGTGAGTTTTCCGCGCTGATTCCACCGAAAGCCTCTGTTGTATTTACAGGCAGGAGGAGGCGTGGGGGAGGGTTTAACCTCCTAAACCGGGCTCACCTCATGGAGTTGAGAAGAAATTACTACCTTACAACCAAAGTATTAATAATCAAGTCTATTAATTATTATTATTATTATTATTATTATTATTATTATTATTATTAATAAATAGTTTTGCGTTTTGTCGCAGTGCAGCAAGAAAGTTGGGTTTGACTCCCTGTTTTTATGGAGTTTGCATGTTCCCGCATGTGTACATGGGTTATTTTTGGGTCCTCGGGTTAATTAGTAACTTTAATTTGCCCCTAGGTGTGAGCAGGATGGCTCTGCCTTGTTTGTCTTTATTTGACCTTATGGACTGATGACCTGTCCAGGCTGTACCCTTCCTCTTGCCCAATGACTGTTGGAGGTAGAAACCAGCGCTGACCCTGCAGGAAATAATGATGAACGTTTTTAACTTCTGATGTCTGAAGATGAAGGTAAAATGGTGGGTGCTGCCATGTTGTATTTTTGAACCTAGTCTGCCCACTGTAGGGTTGTACTATTAATACCTAAAGTGTGGCTCTTTTGCGAGACTGCAACCTATGCCTTCTGGTCATTTTGGTATAATTTCTGAATAAATTCGGCCCATGAGGGAGCGTCAAAGCCAAACCACCTTTAATGCATCTGTGCTGTGAAGCCAGGTAGCAATAGAGCTGAAATGGCCAAGTGAAAAGGTAAGCCATTGCTGCTCAACAATGTGTATAAGTAATGGCGTGGTATGTGCTATGGGGGTGCCAAGTGTAAAATAAAATCTTTTAAAAATTCATAAACATATTTTTTATTTAGCTCACTTCTTGAGTGTTAAAAAATTCCACTAATGTTTTATTGTTATTTAGCTCACTGTTCTTACATTTAGCTATTTGTTTTTACTAAATGTTAAATTTAAATGTTAACAAATATGTTTAAATATTAAATCCTAAACGTAAATATTTAAATCTAAATGTAAAAATTTAATTTGAAATGTTGAAGTTAAATGTTCAAATTCATATTAGGTATTTTGGAATGGAACGCAGCCTTTGCTGCTGGTCCTCGGCTCATATTATGATGTCATCATCCTGAGACAATAGCAACCATTAGCACTCCAATGCAGCTAAAGCTTCCCTACA